TCTCATTCTGTTCACATCTATCTATCTATCTATCTCATTCTGTTCCCTATCTATCTATCTATCTTAGTCTGCTTATCTATCTATCTATCTATCATCTATCTATCTATCTATCTATCTATCTCATTCTGTTCACATCTATCTATCTATCTATCAATCCATCTATCTATCTATCTATCAGTATTTCTCATCTATCTATCTATTATCTATCTATCTATCTATCTATCTATTCATCTATCTATCTATCTATCTATTAGTCTGCTTATCTATCTATCTATCTATCTATCTATCTATCTATCTATCTATCTTTTCTATCTATCTCATTCTCTTCTATCATCATCTATCTATCTATCTATCTATCTATCTATCTATCTATCCCATTCTGTTCACATCTATCTATCTATCTATCTATCTATCTATCTATCTATCTATCTATCTATCTGCCTAATTCTATTTAACATTATTGTAATATTTTTTTATATTAACTGCGTTTTAGTGAACTTGTGTGTGTTTATATGTGAGAATCTGGGCGTTTGTTTTCGTGTGTCTCTTTCTATGGCTTTCTGTCTGTTTTTTTCTCTAGATCCACTTCAGTGTTGCTATTCCTACTTTTTTTTTTGTTGCTTCTTGCATGTTTATGTTTTCAAACAAGTTGTAGATAAGCTTCATAAAGCGAAGATTACAATTTGCTTTCGCTCCCTGATTAGAGGTAAACACATGTTAAAGTCGCCCATAAAAATATTGGCGACACGGAGTGGGGGGGAGGAGACAAATGAAAGACCAAAAGAAAAAACGAGATAAAAAATCAATATGCTGTTCACAAAATTAATGACAAAAACAAAACAAAAAACTGACAAAAAAATATCGAAAAAAAAAAAACTCTTAAAAACCAGAAAAAAACGGGGCAGAAAATGCATAAATAAGACGAAGAAGAAGAAGACGAAGAAGAAGAAGACGAAGAAGAAGAAGAAGACGAAGAAGAAAAAGAAGAAACGAAGAAGATGAAGACAAAGAAGAAGAAGAAGAAAACGAAGAAGATGAAGACAAAGAAGAAGAAGAAGAAGATGAAAAAGAAGAAAAAGAAGAAGACGAAGAAGACGATGAAGAAGAAGACGAAGAAGAAGAAGTCGATGAAGACGAAGAAGAAGACGAAAAAAAGAAGAAGACGAAGAAGAAAACGAAGAAGACGAAGACGAAGAAGAAGAAGAAGACGAAGAAGAAGAAGACGAAAAGAAGAGGACGAAGAAGAAGACGAAGAAAAAGAAAAAGAAGAAAAAGAAGATGACGAAAAAGAAAAAGAAAAGAAGACGAAGAAGAAGAAGAAGACGAAGAAGAAGAAGACGATGAAGACGAAGAAGAAGAAGAAAACGAAGAATAAGACGAAGACGAAGGAGAAGAAAAAGAAGAAGAAGAAGACGAAAAGAAGAAGACGAAGAAGAAGACGAAGAAAAAGAAAAAGAAGAAAAAGAAGATGACGAAAAAGAAAAAGAAAAGAAGAAGACGAAGACGAAGAAGAAGAAGAAGACGAAGAAGAAGAAGAGGATGAAGACGAAGAAGAAGACGAAAAAAGAAGAAGACGAAGAAGAAGAAGAAAACGAAGAAGAAGACGAAGACGAAGGAGAAGAAGAAGACGAAGAAGAAGAAGAAGACGAAAAGAAGAAGACGAAGAAGAAGACGAAAAAAAAGAAAAAGAAGAAAAAGAAGATGACGAAAAATAAAAAGAAAAGAAGAAGACGAAGACGAAGAAGAAGAAGAAGACGAATACGAAGAAGAAGTAGACGAAGAAGAAGATGAAAAGAAGACGACGAAGAAGAAGACGAAGAAAAAGAAGAAGACGAAGAAAAAGAAGAAGACGAAGAAAAAGAAGATGACGGAAAAGAAGAAGGAGAAAAGAAGACGAAGACGAAGAAGACGAAGAAGAAGAAGACGAAAAGAAGAAGACGAAGACGAAGAAGAAGAAGAAGTAGACGAAGAAGAAGACGAAAAGAAGAAGACGACGAAGAAGAAGAAGACGAATAGAAGACGAAGATGAAGAAGAGGTAGAAGTGGGAGGAAAAGGAAAAGAAGACGGAAAGGCAGAAGTAGGGAGGAAGAGGAGGTGTCGAAGGTGATGAAAGAAAATATGTAAAAGAAAATAAAAATGAGGACAAAAGTTTGAAAAGGAAAAGAAGAAGAAAAGGATTAGAAACAAAAGAAAATGGAAAATGGGAAAGAGAAAAACAAGTAAGAAAAGTGGGGGCTATAAAAGAAAGAAAAAGTGAAAGAAAGGAGGGAGTAGAAAAGACGAAGAAAGATGAACAAGAAGAAGAAGAAGAAGAAGAAGAAGAAGAAGAAGAAGAAGAAAGTGGGAAAGCAAAAGAAAAAGACGAAAACGGAAAAGAAGAAAGAAAAGAAGAAGAAAAAGAAAAGAAGTAGAGAAAGAAGGAAAAAGAAAAGAGAAAGGAAAAAAAGAAGTATAACGAGAAGAAAAAGCAAAAGGTTGCAAAAGAAGAAGAAGAAGGGGGAGGAAGAGAAGAAGAAGAAAAAATGGGGAGAAAGAGAAGAAGAAGAAGAAGAAAAAGAAGAAGAAGAAGAAGAAGAAGAAGAAGAAAAAGGGGGAGGAAAATGAAAACGAGAGAAAGAAATAGAATATACGAAGGAAAAGAAGAAAAGAAAAGAAAAAAGAAATTGGAAAAGAAAAAGAAGAAAGAGGAAACGTAGAAAGAAAGGCAGAAGAATAAAAAGTAGAAGAGAAAGAAGAAAAAGAAGAAAGAGGAAACGTAGAAAGAAAGGCAGAAGAATTAAAAGTAGAAGAGAAAGAAGAAAAAGAAGAAGGGAAAGAAAAGAATTAGAAGAAGAAGAAGAAGAAGAAGAAGAAGAAGAAGAAGAAGAAGAAGAAAAAAGAAGGAGGGGGAGAAAGGGAATAGGAAGAGAAGAAGAAGGATGGAAAGAAGGTGAAAGGGAAAAGTAGCGAAAAGAAAGGAAAGAAAAGGAAGAATAAGAAAAAAAATAAAAGGAAAAAAAAAGGAAACGAAAACGGAGGAGGAGAAGGAGAAAAAGGGGTAGCGTAGGAGGAGGAGGAGGAGGAGAAGGAGTAAATGGTGAATGAAAAGACGAAATTTTTCAAATGCATCTACATACATTCGCAAAGGAAAATAATTAACGTACTTTGAGATATTTCTGCGTTGTTTTTATTTTTTATTAATGTAATAATATCGTCCGTCCCTGGCAATAAATACAAAATAAATAAATAAATAAATAAATGAATGAATAAGAAGGAAAAATCAAACAAAAAAAACACCCGCATATGGTAATGAAAAACGGTACCGCGGGCGATGCACGAATTAGCCAATCAAATTCGTTTGTTTGAGCAACAGGCATCAAGGTCACGTGACATTGCAGATGGCTGGGACAACCGATACATATTGCCCTCGATAATTGTAATTGCACTTCTTCTTCTTCTTCTTCTTCTTCTTCTTCTTCTTCTTCTTCTTCTTCTTCTTCTTCTTCTTCTTCACTCTTTAGTCTTCAGTTTTTTCACTGTTTATATTCTTTCTTTCCTTCTTTCAATCTTTAGTGTATTCACAGCTTATATTTTTCCTTTTTTTTTTTTCATTCCTTTCTTTCTTCCTTTCTTTTCAGTGTTTATATATATTTCCCTGTTTGTAACGCTTTTTTCTTTCTTTCTTGTTTCAGTCTTCAATGTCTTCGATGCTTATATTATTTCTTTCTTTCTTTCTTTCATTCATTTATTCTTTCTTTCTTTCTTTCTTTCAGTCTTCATTTTTTCAATGATTTCTCATTCTAAACTCTTCTTCTTTTTCTTCTTCTTCTTCTTCACTGATTTATCTTCAGTTTTTTCACTACTTATAGTCTTCTTTCTTTTTTCAGTCTTCTGTGTCTTCACTGCTTATATTATTTCTCTCTTTCTTTCTTTCTTTCTTTCTTTCTTTCTTTCTTTCAATCTTCAATGTCTTCACTTTATTTTATTTTCTTTCTTTCTTTCTTTCTTTCTTTCTTCAATTTTTTTCAATGCTTATATTTTTCTTTTTCTTTCTTTTTTCTTTTCTTTCAATGTCTTCACTGCTTTATATTTTTCTTTCTTTCTTTCTTTCTTTCTTTCTTTCTTTCTTTCAGTTTCATTTTTTTCAATGAATTCTTATTCAAGTTGTTTCTTTCACCTTCTTCATTCTTTCTTTCTTTCTTTCTTTCTTTTTCTTTCTTTCTTTCTTTCTTTCTTTTCTTTCAATCTTCAATGTCTTCTGCTTATATTTTTTTCTTTCTTTCTTTCTTTCTTTCTTTCTTTCTTTCTTTCAATCTTCAATGTCTTCACTGCTTATATTTTTCTTTCTTTCTTTCTTTATTTCTTTCTTTCTTTCTTTCTTTCTTTCATTCAGTCTTCATTTTTTTCAATTTCTTTTCCAAAAATTATTCTTCTTCTTCATTCTTCTTTTTCTTTTCTTTTTTCTTTTTTTTCTTTCTTTTTCAATCTTCAATGTCTTCACTGCTTATATTTTCTTTCTTTCTTTCTTTCTTTTTTCTTTCTTTTTTTCTTTCTTCTTTCATTCTTTTTCAATTTTCAATGTCTTCACTTCCATATTTTCTTTTCTTTTCTTTCTTTCTTTCTTTCTTTCTTTCTTTCTTTCTTTCTTTCTTTCAATCTTCAATGTCTTCACTGCTTATATTTTTCTTTCTTTCTTTCTTTCTTTCTTTCTTTCTTTCGTTCTTTCTTTCTTTCTTTCAATCTTCAATGTCTTCACTGCTTATATTTTTCTTTCTTTCTTTCTTTCTTTCTTTCTTTCGTTCTTTCTTTCTTTCTTTCAATCTTCAATGTCTTCACTGCTTATATTTTTCTTTCTTTCTTTCTTTCTTTCAATCTTCAATGTCTTCACTGCTTATATTTTTCTTTCTTTCTTTCTTTCTTTCTTTCTTTCTTTTCACTGCTTATATTCTTTCCTTCTTTCTTTCTTTCTTTCTTTCTTTCTTTCTTTCTTTCTTTCTTTTCTCGTCAATTTTTTCTATGATTTCTCATCCCCACCCGCTCATCCAAAGTTACTGAACCTGGTTTTTTTAAGACGCTGCCATTTAAGCTCAGTAGTGATCGGGCGGGAACTAGTTTTTCAACGTGACATGGCCGTAAACACACACACACATATATATTTATATGTATCTCTGTCTGCCTGTCTGTCTTTCTGTCTCTCTCTCTCTCTATATATATATATACACACACACACACACATATATATATATATATATATATATATATATTTAAATAGATAGATAGATAGACAGAGAGATAGATAAATATATATATATATATATGTATATATCCGCGTATGCAAATGTATTTATATATATATATATATATATATATATATATATATATATATATCGTAAAAAGAAAGAACAGTAAAATATATGTTCTTATTAATATTTTTTATTTTTACAAAACAGTGTTCAATGTAAATTTACAGAGCATAAATATTATAAATTAACTGATTTAAAAATATGGTTTCATCTGTACACCATGTGTAGCGATGAAACCATATTTTTAAATCAGTTAATTTATAAATATATATATATATATATATATATAAAAATAATCTCGCATAGAATCAATCAGCAATATTAATGCTATTATCGGCGATATCCATCGCTAGTAGTATATAATGTATGCATTAAAATACTGGTAATCCATAGAATGATGTGATCCTCATTTATAGAACTGTTGATTATTTCTATGCGTGATTATTTCTTTGTATATAAATTATATTCTGCCTAATGTTTCATATATATAAAAGTATATAATTTGTGTTTACGGAATGAATTCCAATAACAAACAATTAAGCCATTTTTTTTACATTCAACATCATCACTTGATAAGACACCTGAGGTGTTGAAACAAAATGGCTATTTTTTATAGTGATTTTATAACATATTTATGCTATAATTTTTAAAAATAAATAATATATATATATATATATATACAGGGTGTCCCATAAATTTCCATACACAGGGAAAATAAATCTTTTTATATCAAAAGCCATATTTATTTATGTATTAAGCTCTAGATGACTACCATTCTGTTGAAAACAATCTTCAATGCGTGTCTTCCATTGCTGAAGAACGCGTTCAAGCACAGCTGGAGTTATGCTTGTAATGGCGTTGGCGATACGTTGCTTGAGATGATTTATATTTTGTATCGTTTCCTGATACACCATGATCTTCAAATGTCCTCAAAGGTAAAAAAAATAAAGTGGGGTAAGGTCTGGGGATCCGAGAGGCCATACCACAAGACCACACCTATCACACCAAGCACCTTTGTCCAAACGCCTCTTCTAGGGTATTTGAAATATAAGCAAATACAATGTATAAAACCATATGTATGTAAACTTACGGGGTACCATATATATATATATATATATACACATACACAAAGAGCACGAGTGAGAGGGTGTCCCATAAATTTCCATACATAGAGAAAATAAATCTTTTTATATCAAAAGCCATATTTATTTATATATTATGCTCTAGATGACTACCATTTTGTTGAAAACAATCTTCAATGCGTGTCTTCCATTGCTGAAGAACGCGTTCAAGCACAGCTGGAGTTATGCTTGTAATGGCGTTGGCGATACGTTGCTTGAGATGATTTATATTTTGTATCGTTTCCTGATACACCATGGGCCTTCAAATGCCCCCAAAGGTAAAAATAAAGTGGGGTAACGTCTGGGGATCCGGGCGGCCATACCACAGGGCCACGCTGATCAAACCAAGCACCTTTATTCAACTGCGTCTTGTAAATGTCTTAGTGGAAAATTTAGGATATAAAAAATATACATTTATATAAAAAAATATTAATGAAAAAAATATATTTTACAAATATATAATTTGAATTCATTGCATATAATTTTAGTGAAACAAATTACTGATATTAAACGTGATGAAATTAATGTAATGAATATTATCAATGATTAATCTGCATAATAGCCTTTTAAATAATGACAATAGGTAAATGAAAGTTACTGTAAAGTCTAAGCTAATAGTATTTCCTAGGTAGCTAATTTAGGCCGACCATCGCGAATTTTAAAACTACATATGGCATATAAGATGCAGGGGAATTTTAAGACATTTTTAGTAAAAAATAATGCGTCTTATATATCGTCAAATACGATATATATATATATATATATATATATATATATATATATATATATATATTATATATATATATATATTTTTTTAAAAAAAAAATTAAAAATTAAAATCTTTAGACACACTGGGTTATAGATTAATATTCTTTCGTTTTTTTTTATTATTCCATTTAGATTCTCGACTAGTTTCGACCAAAATGGCCATCATCAGGGAGAAGAAATATTTCTGCTTGCTGGTAGCAGTAAACTACAGAAATGAATGTCTTGATGGAGAAAATGAACTTTTGTCTGTAGTTTTTCATTTGTTTTTTATTTTTTATTTTTTTTATCTTTTAACATGAATCTTTTAACATTCCTTGTGTTGGTCAAACAGTCTCTTTTAAGTTGTTATTTGAAATAAGAGCTGGATGGATCTATGATGCTTTGAATTCTCTGGTCAGTTTGACAGTTTTATTGGTTCCTGGAGAGGGGATGTTTCTCTGTTTAGTGTTTGTGTGTGTGTTATTTGGTTCTTAGAGAGTGAGTGAGTATGATATGTGTAAGCGTGTGTATTGCTGTGGGTGTGTGTTATCATTTGGCTCATTAGGGAGTGAGTGAGTATGATGTGTGTAAGTGTGTATGTTCGTGTGGGTGAGTGTATAAGTGTGAGGCCTCCACACCTCCGTAAGCATGTCTGTCTTATGTGGGTGAGAAATGTGGGTAGGTTTTGATTTGTTGAGTTATATATTGATACTATCTATATATTGTTAAATTTATGGTTTAGCCCGGCTGGATATTTTGTTTTTAGACGTTGTATCCACTTATTTTCATGGGACTCTAAAATCTTTCTAATGTTAGTGGGAGAGAGAGGTGGGGGGGTTCCATAAATTTTAAATTTCCATACATAGGGAAAATAAATCTTTTTATATCAAAAGCCATATTTATTTATGTATTAAGCTCTAGATGACTACCATTCTGTTGAAAACAATCTTCAATGCGTGTCTTCCATTGCTGAAGAACACGTTCAAGCACAGCTGGAGTTATGCTTGTAATGGCGTTGGCGATACGTTGCTTGAGATGATTTATATTTTGTATCGTTTCCTGATACACCATGACCTTCAAATGTTCTCAAAGTTAAAAGTGAGGTAACGTCTGTAGATCCGGGAGGCCATACCACAGGGTCACACCGACAATACAAGCTGATCTAACCCCTAACGTACGGGAATACCAAAATGAGATGGAGCTCCATCTTGTTGAAAGTAAACATTGAAGCTACGATCCTCGTTTAGCAGGAATGGAAAAATCTCAACATGTTAAGATATTGATCGGCATTACGTTTTCCATCAACGAAAGTAGGGCCTATAATTTTGCCATCCTATATCTAGAGTATCTGAAATATATATACAGTGTGGCACCATTTACCAAGGCAGAAAAAGAAAAGAAATAAAAGAAAGGAAAGGAGAGGCGAAGACCCAAAGCGTGGATGATAAGCAGAACACCACGGCTAAGAGACAATGGATAAGGGATATTTTGATAAGTAACAAATGGCGAAAGAGTGTCATTACAATGGCAGGGAAATTCTGAGTGGATAAAGGAATCGGGTGTGTTCTGGCGTCGGGCTGTGTTATGTGGGATACATAAACAAACCGCTGGTGGGGGAAAGCACCTGATTAAGCAAACCCCAGACGACTAGCCAAAGAAAAGTCCAATTGAAAACGTTAATTTTGATAATTGACAAAAGGGCTTTGGATAAATATGAAAAATTAATTGTGTCAAAAGCAGCACACGATGTGTCCACTGACCGATTTCTTTCGACGGAACATCTTTAGCCTGCGATAATAAAACTATTTTATCAGAAATGTGTACCAGAAAAAGTGAATGGGAACTTAGAAATGTTACTTTTCGAGGCGACGGTCTGGCTGTGTTAAAAAGACCACCCATTCTGATAATTAGCGATAAGATGACTGACGAAGCCCAGGTGAAGAACAAGAGTTATGACCACCGTCGTTCGTATTGATCTGTTTGCGGCTAGAGAAAATGATGGCTGCGATTAAAAGAAAGAAAAGGAAAAGAAAAAGATATTTTTTTTTTTAGTTAAGCAAGATATTTTTTTTTCCTGAAACAAAGCCGCGGAATCGTACACGCCCGACTAAAACATCATTGGTCGAGTGGTGATCACGTGACGCAAGGAGGAGGTTGTCGCCGACCATCTAGAGGATGGGTATGAGAGGTTGCTACGAAGAAGTGGGGAGGGCAGTTCACGCCTCTCTGAAGTATGGTGAGAAGGTGGGAGTAAGAGAAAGCTCCCAAAAATGGAAAAAAGTGGAAAATTCCTAACCAAAAATAAAAGAGGTGGATATGTATTTAGAATTATCGAGGAACCCCCGGCGCCGACAAACCCATCCCGGTTTTGGTCGGCGTCCATATAAGCGAAGTCGCAGCGAGCAGAAATCAGTTTCAATTGAGTTGCATTTAGGTTCGAGTTGAATTCGAGACAGTTCCCAGAGTCAGTCTCCAGTTGAAGCAAGCCTCGCAGATAGCTGACTTGCAAGATTCGCGCAAATTCCGAACTCCTCTTCAATCCAATTAATTTGAAGAGCGACTTAGATCCAGACCACCAAAATAAGTTTTTTTTCGACTTTCGCCCAAAGACACACCGAAAAACCAATTTCTTAAAGAGCAAACAACTTGAAGCGTTAAAACTCGCCTAACGGAAAACAACATGTCACAATCCATAGAACGGTCGGGAAATAGACGCAGTCCTATGTATCCAACAACTAGACATAAAGTTTGTTATCCTTTTTTTTGATACCTTGAATTTTTGAGTTATCATTTTATTTTCTTTTATGCATATTTGTGTGGTGTCACCCCCGTTGAACCCGATTTGCATT